CTGGGCTCTCCCAGCCCCAGACCCTCCTGGGCTGGGAATGCCTGTCTTGCTGCAAATCTGGGAATCTAGGAAGGGTATCTAGGAAACCAGGCTGATGTTCTCACGGAGATAGGACTGTCTTGCTGACAAATCCTGCTCACCTGTGGTTTAGACCTGCGAATAGTGGTGACTAAACCATGAGTTGTCAAGAAAGTGTTGGGAGGTGTGATGTGAGGAAAAATTGGGATGAGGTAAGAGACAGGTTTTGGGCAAGAGCACAGAGGAGGTACCTCAGGGAAAGAGGTACCTGGCAGGTGGATGGCAAAGCAGCCCTAAAACTGGGTGTCAGTGCGAGATGGAGGAGATGGTGATTCAGGAGATGCACACGTATCTCATGGGGGTTAGACCTGTGGGAGCAGTGAGCTTGGAATAAATGAGACAGATGTGGTTTAGCTCTAATTTTTTTTTTTGATGCAGGAGGTGGGTGTGTTGCTGAGACACGGTGGTGGCTCAGGTTGCTGACAAAAGCAGGGAGCTGGCACGGAGAGTGTGGGGCACAGGAAGGGCCACGGGCAGCTGGCAGTGTCCCTGAGCTGAGGTAGGGATGTATGTGGAGTTTGAGGGATCAGTGGGATGATTTCCCCAAGGTGTGCTGGGGTGGGTCTGCCCTTCCACCCCAGCCATAGGCTTTAGGGCACTGAAATGTCAGTGGTGGGGTTTTCCATCCACGCACATGTCCATGTCTCTTGTCTTCTCCTCATTTTGTCCTTTTGCCATCTCTGCTGTTGGGAGCTCTGCTCTTGATGGGCTCTTTGCCCTTTAGCACTTATGAAGTGACCCTGATCCTTAGGACTGTGACAAAGGTTCCCTCTGCTCTGTACTCTTCAGGAGGGGTCTGAATAGACCCCTTGATGGTGCAAGTTGTGTTTTTGGCACAAAATGGGCTGAAATGGGATAGCTCTTTCCACTGTACTCCAGTGCTGAGCTAGGATCAGGACACGTAATGCAGCTACGTGACCAGGGCTTTTTTCCCCAGATTTGCAGCAAGATTGGAGAAGCATTTGGATATGACCTGTTTAGAGCCTGAGATAATTTCTGCCTTGGCAAACACAGAAAGAGATAAAGCAATGGAGAGCTAAGAGCTAAATCTCCCCTGTACAAATGCTAGGAGCATATGTAATAGGATTGTTGAATTGGAGTTACATGTTTTCCAGGATAAGTACTGTTTGATGATACCCTGCTGCTGCAGCCATCCTTAAAACAGAAAAAAAGGACTGGGGATTTACAGCACTTGTTGGGGATGTTGGGGTTTCCCTGTGAACTTTGAGAACAGCAAAAGGGAAGAAAAGGCCTTTGCAGATAAGACAAAACAGATCCCTAAGAAGGCTGGAGTCCTGTGGGGAGGAAACATCAACGCTCTGACCTCAGGGTAATCAGGTATCACAGATTTTTCTCACACAAAATGCAAACTCTTTTGTAGATCTTCTAGCTGAACATGGGAAAACTGAATATTTTTTTTTTAAGCAACATCTTCCCTTGTTTTTCTGTGCCCCTTTCAAGAGGTGCGTTAAAAACAGTGCACGTCCCGACCTTGAAGGTACAGTTTTAAGCAAGCTAAACTTAGAAGATGTCAGAGCTGAGCTTGTCTGCCTGATCTGGACTTGGCCTCTTTCCACCTGGGGGTTCTGATGCACTGTTTAATTACAGGACACCTCCTGCCTTGCCTGCAGCACATTTACTTCCCAGTAGTGCTGGAAGTGATGGGCCGACCCTGACCCTGGTTGCAAGAGGGACTTTTATTCCAAGAGGGACTTGAGGATGGGGAAAGAAGAGTGGGATTTTTGTTGCTATTGCTGTCTCGTTTGGGAAACCTGGAGTCTGCTTCTCCTGGGGACTTGCTGGTCTGGATGGATACAAGTCTGGCTCATGGTCCCTGTGTCCATCACTTGTGCCCTTCGTTCCCTAACCAGGCAAGGGAGGGAATGCCCCGTGTCCAGGGGAGCTGCTTTGAGGGCAGACATCCGTGCTGGGGCAGGGGCTGGATTTTTGGGGTGGGAGCAGGATTTGGGTACACGTGCTCTGTGTTTGCTGTGAGGGTGCCCATGGAGCTGGTCTGTGCTGAGCACAGGGTGACTGAACCTCTGCTACATCCCAAGTGCTGGATCAAGGCCAGCACAGCCTCTCCCTGGGGCATTCCACACCCCTCCGGGGGTGGTGGGAAAAGGGGGAAGCTCCCGCCCGGCCCTCGGAATCAATGCATCAAGGCAGATTTAATCGCAGTGGAGCCACAGTTCTGCCCATCATTAGGACTCAGGCCAGCATGCATTAAGACTTCCAGGGCTGATATCCTTCGTGCACACGTAGGAATGCAGATAAAACTTCCCAGAAATTTGGCTGATCTGCTGCTGCTCCAGCCCGAGCTACCTATAGGCACAGTCCCTCTCCTGCCAAGCCCTCCTTGCTCCACAAGGTGTGTGGGACACCCTGTTTTGGGCTGAGTTTCTCTCTGTTCCCAGGGAAAGCGTTTCTTTCCTGAAAACCTGGCTGTGCTGAGACAAAGCAACAACCAGCACAAGGTGAATCAGACCCTTTGGTAAACAGCCAAAGGGATTTGTCCCAGCCCAGCGACAGGTGGGAGCTTCTCTTGGCTGACATGGAGGTGTATCAGGACCTGGGCTGAATGTCGGAATATTTGAAGCTGCTGCCTAATGCCTGATGAGGGTCCTGCTCCTGCCTCTGCTCCACCTTTCTCCTGGGGTGCTGTGGGGGCCAGCAGGCTGCCAGCTCACTTCCTTCCTGGGTCATATAACGGGATTGTCACCGTTTCTGGCTTCATGTTGTTGCAGTTGCTAATCCTGCAGGAAGCTGGTTGTGCCCATGTGCTCCTGGCTTTTGTTTTTCATAGAATCACAGAATGGTTTGGGGTGGAAGGGACCTTAAGGCCCATCTAGTTCCAGCCCCCCTGCCATGGGCAAGGACACCTTTCAATATCCCAGGTTGCTCCAAGCCCTGTCCAGCCTAGCTGCTTGGACAGTCTCTCTGTGCTCCTCCCAGCCTACCTATCCCTGCTTCCACCTTCTGTAGGTGTCCTTTTCGTGTTCTTCCAAGAGCTCCTTGTTCATCCACACAGGCCTTCTGGAGTTTTGACCTGCCTTCCTCCTTGTTGGGATGCATCAGTCCTGAGCTTGGAGGAGGTCATCCTTGAATATTAACCAGGTTTCCTGGGCCCCTTTCCCCTCTAGGGCTTTATCCCATGGGACTCTACCAGGCAGGTCTCTGAGAAAATGACTGCATCCAGTTTTTGTTTACTTTTTGATGAAAATGCCCTTTTTGTGTTGGTTTTTTGTTTTGTTCTGCTTTTTTTGTTTCTTTTTTTGTTTGTTTGTTTTGGTTTGTTTTGGATTTTATTTTTGTTGGTTTTATTTTTGTTTTTTTGTTTGTTTTCCACTCCCTATCCCTGCCAGTGCTGAAGCAAATAAATGGGCAGATGCCTTCCTTTCCCTGCAGAATGCTGGAGCTGTACTTCACCTGCTGGATCGTGAAGGGAGATGCTGTTATTTCCATGAGTGATTTGCTGGGAGAAGGAAGGTGTAACTGTGCAGTTGAGACATGGATCCAGACCCCAGATGCCCTGCTGGGATGAACTGATGTCCCGTCAGGGTGGTTGGTGGAGCTTGCGTTGGGCTTGGTGGATCCTTGCGGAGCAACCCCAGCTCAGAAATTTCTGGCTGATGGTGCAGTGCTGTGGGACTGGGGCTGTTTGCTCTTGGCAGCTCCCTCCTCTCTTTTCCAGCACTTTGGCTGAGCCTTCTGTGTTGTCAACCAGCAAAAGCCCATTCCCATTGAATTATGGATGCATAAACCGGGGGGGGGGGCACGAGGGGGGCGTTGGGTTGGGCGGCCGTTCAGAGAGCAGGTGTTTCCTCTTTGGGGTTTAGGTTACCAAATTCATCAGGACATTTCAGCTTCTCGCTTTTTAAATTCCCTGATCCTGGAGAACAAAGTCATTTTCTCAGCTTTGGAGCCTGACATCTGCTTGCAGGGATTACGCGTGTTCCTGCGGCAGCGGGCGCAGATTTTCTTTGTGGAAGGGGATCTGTTGGAGGGAGTATTAAAGCCCAGTACAAGTTCCTGTTCTGGAATGGAAATTGCTCTGCAGGTTTGGAGTGAGGCATGCTGGAGCTTGCTTATTTACTTGGCAGATGTCTGATGGTGTTACATTATCCCCAGCACTCGGACCTGCAAGGCTTCAGAAAGGGCTCAGTGTGTTGTGGTGGGTTGAATGGCCATGGGGAGCTCTGCTCTTCCCGCTTTCCTGTGGTGGGAAAACAACCATTTCCAGTAAGGAGCTGCCAGCCAGCTCTGCCTCCCATAGACCCATGTCCTGGGGTGATGGGGAGCACTGGTCAGGGAGAAGGGCCATCAGAAATCTCCGCTGGATGGTGCTCAGGGGGTTGTCAATCCACTCATGTTTCCCATCTCTGAGCAGTGTGCAGGGATGATATTTGCTGGGAATGAGTCACCTTCTACTACTTGAGTTTGGGCAGGCGTTCCAGGGATTGGTTTTTAAAACACATTCTGTTTTGCCACCTTAAACCTCTCTCAGTGCTTCCAGGTTGTTGTTTTGTGAGATCCAGACTAACCCCCAAGCATGATTTTGCTGAGAGCATGCAACTGGGAGCCAAGCTTTTTATAAAGCTCCAGATCAATAATACAATTAGCTAAACCCAAGTCCAGTGGAAAAAGTTGCTTTGGAACAATTAAGTGTTGCCTGCAGCCCTGAGAGCCTGGAGCTCTCGGGGAAACAGGCTTTGTGGCTCTGGCAAGATAGGAACTGCAACAAATAGTGAGAAGCAATTTGGATTTGAATTATTTCCCCCTCTGCACTAGTAGGTCGAGGTGGTGTCAGTGATGAAGGTCTGGCTGAGGTGTGTTGCAGGGGCTCAGGCTGGTGAACAGCAGCTGTGTGCATCTGGCTCGATGTTTGGAGCTGACCTGTTCATCTTTCTTTTCCATTCCAGGAGCTGTATGGGACAACCAATGTTTCCCTACCGTCCTGCTTTCTGCTGTGACCCCCTCATGTGAGTAGTGACCCCTGGGCTGTGTGTTTGCAGCTCCTGCCCACCCTCCTCCTGCTCTGCTCACCATACCTTCCCTCTCTGTCCTGGGGCAGAGCTCCACAGGCTGCAGAGCAGAACGGGGGGTCTTTTAGGAATAAAAACTTCAAGGCTTCTTTGAGATACACAGTGAAGTGTTTACATGAAAAACCGTGTCAGCAGCTGCATGTTTTATCCAAGAAAGTATGTTCAGACATGTTTATAGAAACATGGCAGCGCTAAATCTGGACAGTTGGTCACTAATCTTTGCAAAGATACAGAAGTGATTAAATAAAAAGATTTCCCTGTGGCAAACCCTGTAAGTTGCAATGTAAGTGTGACCCAGGCTTTTAAAGGCTCCTCTCCTGCCCTTGTCCCTCCCCACACTTCCTCTGTGTGGTCACTCCAAATTGCTGCCAGCTGGCCCTTTTATCATGTGTGTGTGTGGTTGTGCTGCTTCTCATTTTTGTCCAAAGAGACAGACAAAATCTGTGGCTTATTCAAATCTTTGAATTTTCAGCCAGTCTAACAGTAGGAAGGAGAAATACAATTAAAAACTCTGAGGGAAGAGGTTCTGTCCTTTAGTGCCTCACTATTGACCACAGACCCCACTGTGCCCATAAGTCTAAGTTGTCTTGCCTGTTGTGTTTGAGATTTTCTTCCCTCTGTGTTGCCTTCTACCCTTGTTTCAGACATCAGGTTAAGTTCTTTCTGGTGTGTTTTCAGCTTGACAAATATGATCTGTTTTGTTTGTTCCAGGGTAAGGGTTTTTTTGGTTGGTTGGTTTTGTTTTTTTCAATTGAGTGGTTTTGTGGAAACAAAAACAGAACAAAAAAATTTCTTTTAAAAAACATCAGCATTGTAAAGAAAGAAGAATGAAACCAGAAACTGATACATCATCAAATTGAACATGCTAGTGTGCAAACACGTGGCAGAGCAGTCAGCTAACAGCAAATGATAGTGAAATTGGGTGATATTTCCAGTTTCCCTGGAGTTGAAAGTGCACATGGTTTACAATGGATAATGAAATTATATGGTTTTTATGTCTAATACGTTAATTCTGCCAGGGCAGTAAGCCCAAGGTTCCAATCCACCACAAGGCTGACATTTTGTTGGAAAGAGATGCACAGGCATTTATTGAGGACACAGACTACAGTGCATTTAACAAAAAAATAACAGAACAATGGAATAGGTCTCCTCTCTCTTCTCTCTTCCCTTCTCTCCCACTCTGTGGTATCAAATATTGACTCAGGCCAGAGGAGCTGCTGCTTGGAGCCTGTTGCTCCTCCTGCGTGGCAAATGCAAAAGTTAATTCCCTTTTTTGTGTTTTGAAAGAGGACTATCACCTGTGATGTTTTTGTGCTTTTGTGTGGCTTGGGCTTTTTAAGAGCAAGTCTTGACACATCCTGCCCTGTCACACACCTGCATGGACAGGTGTTTGTGGATCAGACCAAGGTCCTGATCCAGAGTCTAAACCATGTGTCGTGCACCTGGTTTGCCCTAAACTGGCCCTGTTTCCCTCCTGTGCTTCCCTGCCCAGTGGTGGAGACGTGGCTGTGAGCCTGAGCTATCCTTCTAATCAGGGCCTTGTGTTCCTGCTCCCTCCTTGCAGCAGCACCAGGGATTTCCTCATTGCACAGTGAGCAAGTTCAGGGAGCCAAAATGGCCAGAAAATAAAATGTGGTGTTTTGGCCAGCTGTGTTTTGTGAGCCAGGTTGCTAGAAGAAGGCTGTAGGTGGGAATACATAGGCAGGATGTGGTAGCCCTGATGTGGTCACTTTTGAGGAGAAAAGAGGGGTCTTAGAACCTGTTTAGCTGTCTTGTGGTCCCAATAAACCGTGTCACTGAGATCCTTCACTCCAAACCCCAGGGACAGATGGACACTCTTGGTAAACCCTTCCTTGCCAGCTATGGGGTTGTGCTGCTTTGCTGTGGATTTTAGAGCTTCTTCACTTGTGTCCTGCAAGATGATGTTCCAGGAAAGAGCTGCTTTAGGGACCAGCCAGAGGTCCATGTGGAGAGTGAGGAGGAGGAGGAGGAGGAGGCATTTCCCTGGAGAGGCTCTGGATAGCTCATGCTGCAGGATCACCTACTGGAAGGAGTGCAGAAGTCTTTCTGTGCTTTTTGTTCTGCTTTTGCAGAAGTCTGTCCAGGACTTTCATCTGTGGCTGATGTAGGAGGCTCTGTTTTGGGTGTATTATTGGGATGGGAGAGGATTGATGCTCACACCCTCTGTGCTGGCCCTGAGCTCAGCTGGGTTCTGCAGAACCCCGAAATGCAGAACGGGTTTGAGGAGTTCCCTTATCTCCCCAGTGTGGCTGCAGTGGGGGAAGTGGGCCAAGTTTTAAAAGTCATTTCTCCAAGTGACTGCGTGCAGCCTTCTAGACTTGCTTAAGCACACCCATTTCTGCTTTTGGGCAATTAATGCAGCTGATGAAACCGAGCTGTTTTGTTGCTCAGTGGCCTATTTCTGTGTTTTCCCTGCCACCGCTCTATTTGCTGCCACTTTAATACATATCCACCACTGTTCTCCCCATGCAGCTGTCCCACTGTGTATCAGTCACATCTCTGTGTGTGTGTGTGGAATAGAATAAGGGAAAAATAACTTTGGTCACACAGACTTATGCAGAGGAGGATCTGCCCTGATGCGCTGATATCTCGCCGAGCTTCTTAGAGCTGGAACGGTGACAGCAGGCAGCATTGGAGTCCACCTCCCAAATGTTGTGTTTAATCCCAAATCAGGCTTTAGCATTCAAGTAACAGCCAAATACTGAAAAGCCTCATAAGAAGTAGAAGGAACAGGCAGGACTTTAAAAAAAAACAAAAAAACCAAAAAACCCCCTACACAACTAGAAATGAGGAAAAGTAATCAGCAGTTCTGGAACTATTATGGTTTTTAGATTGCGAGGCTTTTGCCAGTAAAAGAAGACCAGGTCTCTGCCCTTGAGCTTGCTTAAGCAGTTAATCTGTGTATGAACTCTTAGTCTTAGGGATCACTCAGAAATTATGAATCTCTGAGCCTTCAGAGACACATTTGGGCAGTATAAAGGCAGGGTCATGTGGCAGTGGCATTAGAAGCTGGAGGCTCAGGTCAGACCTTAATGCAGGTCTTCCAAAGGTGAGGGTGTAGCCTCATGGATATAATCCAATGTACAAGTTAACGGAAAAGGACAAAAAGGGAAGGCACTCAGACATGTGTGGTAAGTCCAGTTGTGCCAGCCCTGTCTACCAGCTGTGGTGTTTATAACCTTGAGTGACCTTGTGAAAGTCAGTGCTGGTGGCTCTCTGGGCAGAGCCTGCAATCCAGATCTCTGCTTAGTTCGGAGGGCTTTGGGTCAGGGTCTCCCAGAGAGGTGTTAACTGAACAGTGTGATTCCTGTGCCGTGCTCTGGTCTGGGGAGGTTGAAAACCAGGTCAGGGCTTCTTTTCATTGAGGTGACATTGAAGGGAAGTTTTGGATTTGTGTTTTTTGTTTGGTTTTTTTTTTTTTTTTTACCATATGGCTGTAATAGAAGAAATAAATTGGAGCTTGTTTTCTAAAAATGAGAACATGTGCAGTCAACCAGCATCTTTTATTTTTATGCAGCACGTCCAAAATAGATGCCAGTCTGCCTCTTTGGGAACGTGCATCCGGCAGAAAGTCACAGCAGCACTTTGTGCTCCCTTCCCTGACTTTCCCGCTCTCCCACCACTTCACAGTGAGCTGTTCAGGAAGTGACTCTCGTTTGGATGTGCCAGTCACCCCCACACACGGGGGTGAAGGTGGCAGTGACATGAGGAGGGGGTGTGTGGGTGACACTGATGCTGCTCTGGTCCCCCTTCTCCAGTAAAAAGCTCAGTGTGGGAGGGAGGGAGCAAGGACACTTGTGCAGCCCTCTTGCTCTGCTGAAAGGGGGAAGCTGGAAGCACTGCCAAGACAGAGGAATTACTGGCAGGATGCTTTCTGCTGTGTCCCTGGAGTTGGACATTGATAGTCTGTGCTTGCAGCCACGTGCTGTTTGCTCAGCCTGGAAAGGAGCAGTTGCTCAGTTGTGTCCTTTGGATCTGCTGGGGGTGGAGAGCATTTCCCCCCCAGTTCCTGCTGCCAACACATGAGGAATCACAGAATCATTTAGGTTGGAAAAAACCTCCAAGGCCATTGACCATGGGCTGGGGTCTGCACAGGCAGAGTGGGAGGGATGGATGGGGATGGTCCAGTCTCTGCCCGCTGGCCTCCCAAGGCTCTGGAGCTGAGAAGAGGTTTCTCTATGAGCTAAGAGAAGATGCCTCCCTCCTGTGGGAAGAGCTGGGGGGAGACTGAGCCACTGAGCAAACTTTGGGCTTTGCACATAGACTGTCATGCTCCTCCTGAGGGCGAGGGAAGAGACAGAGACTTGGTCTTGTGCTGGTGTGAACTGGAATTTATCCCTGGAGTGAAAGGAGTTGTGCCTGTGCCAGATAATGTAGGATCAGGTGCTCAGTCAGCCCTGACTTCAGCCCCCGAATTCATGGCTGTGAGGATATTTCATCCTGGGGACAAGGATTTGGGAAATGCAGCTCCTGCAGGGCCTGGAGATGTGCAGGGTTGGGATGATAACCAAGGAGCTCAGGCTGGGTGGCCTGAGCTGGGATTTAGGAGAGAGGAGCAGTGTGACTTGTGGTCTGGTGACATGGGAGATGTAGCCAGTGTGCTCCCAGTTCCCTCTTCCTCTTTGATGTCCCCTCCCTGTGCTCAGGCAACTGTACACTTGGCCAGGGCAGGGGATCAATCTGCCCAAATTCTGCCTTTTGTTTTCCATCAGGGCTGTGCAGGAGATGGGGATAATACTTGCCTCTCAGGGGCATTGTGAAAGTTAATTTGCTAATTATTTGCAAAGCACATCAGAGTGCTGCTTCAATTCTACAGAAGGTTATGGTAACATCTAATTAATAATTCCTTATGATGCTTCATTTTCTTTCTGCTATAAATAATGGCCTAATGTAGGGACAACCCTGCCTGTGCTCGT